TTGATCATTTTGTAATACTGGAGGAAAGGAGCTTAATGAATTTTTTTCTGTTGTATAAGTTTTAATCAGACGCCAGCAGACTTTGGTTCTTGTCATTAATTAATTTATTAATTGTATCTAATTGTTTAGCCGTTCTGACGGATGATATAGCTTTATTTCTATAAAGTCTGAATTTAGTCCAATCGGAAACTAAGTTGCACGGTTTAGCAATCTTGTGTAAGCGATTCCGTTTTCAGATCAAACTCCGGCTTTCATTGTTCGTCCATAGCACATCTTCTGGCCTGTTAGTGACAATTTTGTTAGGCACGTGTTTGTTACATAGATTGATTATGGTATTGTTTACTTCATCAGCTACTTGATTTTTGTCAGGAGAAGAAAGATGTAATTTTGAGTAAAATTGATATTTAATACTTATCCTGACTCTTGTATTTTTGCTTGTCTCCTTCCTCTTGCGAACCTTAGTGGAACACTTGAATCCCCTTTTTGAAGCTCCCTTAAAAAAAGCGGACGTAAAATCACTACACACCAAGAGTTATCTCCCTTCCAGTTTTGGCGGGAGACGGCGCCACCTGTCTCCCAGCCCCTCACTCTCTCCGTATTTCAAGCCCGACACTTAGATTTGCTGGGAAATCCAAAGTGCCTTGAGGGGAGGTTGGGAGGTCTTACCTCATGAGTCAGCATAAGTATAAAATATCAGTTTTACTCAGAAAATGACATATTTTCCTTATCCTGACTCATGTATTTTTTCTTGTAGAATCCCAAGGATTTGGTGGTGGGTCAAGCAACTTCTGGATTCCAAGCTTGGTGATTTACGTCCTGCATACACCCCTATGGAAACTTCATGGTAGGACTGTTAATTACTGCTAGGTTCTGCTGCTGCTGCCCTTGCATCCAGTTTTCTCTGATGGGGGGACCACAATTTGTCAACTTGTGGTCCTTACTTCTGTTAACATTATCTGTGGATTTGAGCAACTCCATCTCTTGATGCATGCATCAAGTGGAGAAGCGACCCTTCTTATGTACGAGTACGTCCTTACAAGTACAGGGTCTATCACTCATGCTAGTCTGTCTTAGACGTGCACATGGACTCTAAAGCTCTAACTCCACAGAGTGTTGGCTTTTGCAAGTAACGTGATAAAAGGGCGAGACTCTGTCTCCGCGCCTTTGTGGAACTGTCAGTTGTTGAGCAACTCCATCTCTTGATGCATGCATCAAGTGGAGAAGCGACCCTTCTTATGTACGAGTATGTCCTTACAAGTGCAGGGTCTATCACTCATGTTTGTCTGTCTTAGACGTGCACATGGATTCTAAAGCTCTAACTCCTCAGAGTGTTGGCGTTTGCAAGTCACGTGATAAAAGGGCGAGACTCTGTCTCAGCGCCTTTGAGGAACTGTCAGTTGTTGTGCTACAACAAGCAGCCCGAAATGGTGAATACCGGAGACGTCCTCGGTGGCAATGTCTCTCAAGTAGTAGTTGGCAAACACCATGTTTGATTTCCAGAAGCAGCCCTCCATTATCGTATTGATGGAGCAGTTTCCATGTAGAGCGAGTGTTGACGCCAGCGCTCTAACTTCATGTGGATTGGAGGCTTGTGGAGGATCAAGTCCTGCTGCTTTATAGGCCCTTAGTATGACAGTTCTCATCCATATTGATATCGTTGTGCGAGAGACCTCTGTCGGTGTCTCTGCCGATATAGGGATGAAAAGGCGTTTGAATTTTCGTCTCCTGGTCTTAGACCTTTGTAGGTAGACTTTTAATGCTCTTACTGGGCACAAGGATAGGTCCTGTGTATCCTGTGGCCCAAGGACTGATGATAATGCTGGGATGTGGAATTGTCTATCAGGTTGACCTGGTAGTTGATTCTTTGATATAAAATCCCATCTTAGTCCCATATGTACGATGTTGCGATCCACATCAAATCGTGTCCTTTCAAAGTCCGAAGCATGTATTTCCGACATCCTTGATGCTGTTGCCAAGGCAATCAGGAACAGAGTTTTTTGTGTCAAGAAATCATAAGATGTCATATCTAATGGTTCATATGCGTCACTGGTGAGACGCTGTAGAACTATATTAAGGTCCCAGACTGCAACTTTAAATCTTTGTTGTTGGTCCTCCAACTTAAAAGATCGTAGTAAGGCCAGTAACTCCGGTACCTTAGTCAGGTTTACACTCGTCCTCATACACAGGTATGTTGAGAGCGTTGACCCTTTTAACCGCTTCGTTTGTCTTAGATGACAAAGATAGTCTGCCACTTGAGGGTGTGTTGCTTTCATGGCTGTAAAGCCGTTCCTCAAAGCATAGGTCTCAAAGTTACGCCACTTGTCGTCATACAAGTTGATTTGCGTAAAGCTAGCGTGACTGCTTTCACTGCTCTGGCGGAATATCCTCTCTTATTCAAGCACGCCTTAATACGGTCCATGCGTGTAGGCGGAACACTTTGGGGTTCCCGTGTGCTTGCTTGGTGTGCGGATGTACTAGCAAGTTCGTCCATTCTGGTAGTTGCAGTTGCGGAGGTCCTCGTTCTTGTATGAGAACGGGAAACCACATTCTCGCTGGCCAATAAGGCGCCACCAAAATCAGTTGCAGGTTCCTCGTCTGCATGATTTTCTGCAACACTTGCGGTATTAGAGCTAGAGGTGGGAACGCATAAGCATTTAGTCCTTCCCAAGAGATGCTCAGGGCATATGTTGCCCATGCTCGTGTATCTGGTATTGGAGATACGAATGTTGCCAGTTGATTGTTGAATCTTGTGGCGAACAAATCTATGAGCGGAGGTCCGATCTGTTGTTTGATCTGTTTGAAGATCTGTGGATGTAACATCCATTCTGTTGGGGATGGTTGTGTTGGACGAGATAGGGCGTCTGCTATCACATTCTTTGCTCCTGGAATGTGGCATGCTTTTGTGTAGATGTTCAGATTGTCCAATATGCTGAACAGATGAAAGCAGAGGTCCAGAAGGTTCGCCAACCTTGTTGATCTATGTCCGTATGGATCATCAAATAAGCATTTCTTAGAATGCTGGTCCAGTGAAGTATGGCGTTTATTACAGCTTTCATCTCTAGCATGTTGATGTGCAGACTTTCTTCCTGTAACGTCCATTTCCCAGCTGACACCTCATTGTCAAGGTGCGCTCTCCATCCCTGAAGGGATACATCTACGTAGAGATGAATGTTGCACTCCGGCTGTGCTAATTAGGTCTCTCCGCAAACATTCGATCTCAAAGTCCACCATAGTAGATATGGTTTTAGTCTGTCCGGAAGTCCGAAGGGGTCCCGATCGTCCCGATGGCCATTCACGAAGACTTGGTGTGGCATAAATGCAGTCTCCTTCTGCAAGTCATGTGCTGACGTGAGAGGACTGAGTAGGCTCTGCCAACTTCGTAGTGATAACAGAGAGAGTACTGCTTGAGATACAATGGCTTGTATCTAGATCCAACGATCCAACTACCGTGGAACCCTTGCCATGTCCGTAAGGGAAGTGAAACAACGTCCGAATCTGTGACTGCCATCGTTGTGAAGTCTATATAAAGTAGACTGGCTGCCGCAACCAAAAGTCCATCAAACGTATGTTGCTGCAATTCGCCTGATGAACAGTCTTCAATGCTGACAGGGAAGGTCTCTAACCCCGTGAAGACAGTCGAATCACGCAGTTCCCGGCTAACTGGACTGTAATTGAGGCCTACCTCCCATGCTGAAAGGTTGTTGTCACTTGTAAACAATTTCCTGACACGTGAGCTACGTCTGACTTCTGCGCAGGGCGTTGTCTCTCATGGACCAATCAAAATGAAGCCTTTAGTTTCCCGCGATGTGACGTCACCGGTGTAGCAGGAAAAAGATCATTGTAGAATCTTGTGCAGTCGTTGATATCTTATCCATACTCGGCCTTGTCCGTAGCCTTCCGGAGTTACACGAGTGACCACGTGTATAGAGGGTTGAATGGTAAAGGCGCGAAGAATTTCGCCGTGTAATACCGATGTAGGTAGACCGTCTTCCTGAGTGCTGTGACTGTTACTTCAGTCCTGAAGATAATGCAGTCGTTCTCTTATACAGATGATCAGCTGAAGTCCCCACCACCTCAGCGCTGCCATCTGTAGACTGCATTCATCTGTCTCAATGAAGCGTCGTAAAATACCCTCTTTGTGTTGAACACACAGGTCCTTGTAGAGTTGATGCTCAACTTTAGTGTAAGTTCTACAAAGGGAGTCGTTGATGATTTTGTAGTTTACATCAATCTCTGGAGCCTTCATGAAGGGTCCCATGTGAAGTAGTGGGAACTCCCTGCCTTGGACGTCGGGAATATGTTGACTTCAGATACATCTCTACCTTTCGTGAAGGTGTAGGTTGTTAGCACCAAGGAGTGCTTGCGTGCAGTTAGTCCCGCTATTATCTTCTGATGTAGATATATCTATCTTAAGATTCTTAACGATGTGAATCACGTTCTGGATTCAGTCTGAAGATCTGCCTGAAGATCTTAGCAGGTGATGAATTCGGACAAGAGTACTCCTCTTGAACTTCAACACGTATCCCTCTGTCTTCGCGCAGGCGAAGATTTCTTCCTCCATGCTTAAGAGTTCCTTCGCATAGGCTCACAATGAAGATCAAGGTCTGAGGGTGAAGTGGGATGGTCCAAGGACATCAATATTAATCCTCAAAACTGCAGAGCATAACTGTCAAGTGCGTGATTCTTCACACATTCCTTCATGCAGGTTACTTCCCGCAGCTTCGTCCTTCACGCAGGCTTGCGCGAACCGTCCATCAGGTCCTTCATGTGCTGCATAAAAATGCCCGTGTTGAAGGTCTGCGACGACTGCAGATGTAGTGACTCTCTCGTCCGTGATGTCTGCGTTGAAGGAACCTCTTTTTCATGTTCAGATGAAAGTCGTCCTGCGTGGAGGTGAGCGTCTACGTTTCCGGGGCTGCTTTTGTGAAGGTAAAATATTCCTGTGCGGTGAATCCCGTGATGACTTGCGTGGTGATGGTGACATCCTTGATCTATCCAACGACTTTCGCGCAGGTGAGAGATCTAGTTGAAGGTCTGAGTCCTGAGACGTCTCTCTGTATCTTCTTGGAGGTGTAAGCTTCTTCCTCTGTGATGTAGGTGGCCTGCGTGAAGGCTCTTCATTAGCCTCATCATCAGATGATGATCTATTCCGGTCAGATGAATGTCCCATCCTTCGCGCAGGTTCGTTGACGTCATGCAGGGTAGGTCTGCTCTTAATCCTAGAGCTAGAACCTCTTGTAGATATCTCAGATGTACCACCGGTGCAGGGTCCTTCACGCAGCACTGGTCCCTCTTATCGGTTGATGACTTGAGCATGAAAGGCGCCTACCTGACCATCATGCAAGGTCCTTTCCTGCGCGAAGCGCTTCTCCATCAGGACCATCATCTGTTGGGAGAATTGCTCTATGAAGGTCCCGGGGTTGAATGTCTGCGATGATTGTAGAGATGACACATCTGATAGGGTAGCGATATGGTCCAGGGATCGCTGTACCTCATGGGTACCTGCTGCCAGTGTAGAGGGTAACTCAGACTGCGTTGATAATGTTGCTGACGTTACCTTTGCTGAGGCCTGCGTCTTCTTCTTATGCAGAATCTCTGGGATGGGGATAGGCGTTTCTTCATATAAGCCTATTTCTTCCATCGGGACGATCTCGGTCGAGAACGTTCTAGTAGTCTGCGATGAGACCCCAGTAGATCTCGTTGAAGCCCTAGTAGTATATGGCTTTTTCTGCGACGAAGATGACCTCTTCTTCTTCTTCGTATGGGTTGAGGAGTTGTCCGACGTAGAAGATCTTTTCTTCGACGTAATGGCGGACTTCACCCCACGCCCATCTTCCGAAGACGCCTCCGGCAGGTCACTGGATGGTAGTATGTCGTCTGACAATGACAAACAGCTCTTTAGGGACTCAGCCGGTTTAAACAGACTTGTAACAGCTGTCTGGATTTATCCTTAGCACGTCTAAGTACAGAAAATTAATAATTATTAAATTCCAAATTTGTTAAATGTTGACACAATTTACAGCGAGAGCTGGAAGTACATGTTGTTGTGCAACTATGGCACAATAAATGTGGGTCTGAGGCAGAGAACCTTAACCTGCAACGAAAACAGGTTTTCATAAAATGTAAACAAACTGAACAATCATGTGGAAAAGCGAATAAACAGTTAAATTTGCTAATAAATTTCAAACCATAATGTAGAAGGATACTCCCTGAAACCTTATAAAAGTAACTTATAGGGTAATAACTAAGTTAGAAAAGGATATAGTGCCGTGTTGGAGACCCAGGTGCTCTCCGAACCGTCCACTAGGGCGAAGAAGGAGAGTGTGAGGGGCTGGGAGACAGGTGGCGCCGTCTCCCGCCAAAACTGGAAGGGAGATAACTCTTGGTGAGTAGTGATTTTACGTCCGCTTTTTTGAATGGAGCTTCAAAAAAGGGATTCAAGTGTTCCACTAAGGTTCGCAAGAGGAAGGAGACAAGCAAAAATACATGAGTCAGGATAAGGAAAAATTATTGTATTCCAATCAAAAGAACTAAGTTCATCAGGAAGGGCTTCAATGTCGGTTTAACTATAATCATAGATTTTTCTTTTATAAGTAACTGTTTTAGGGTTTTTTCCTTCAAAGCAACATGCACAGGACAGTGAACACTTCATATTGGATCAAGTACATCGGATTCTTGTACAGTAGCAACATGTGAAACAAAGATAAGATCAATCAAAGTACTAGAGGTAGGATCGGTTATGATTTGAGATAATCCATTTACTAGTATCAATTTGATTTGATCAACTCTGCTAAGTTGTGGTAAGAACATCTTCATTAAAATCACCAGTCAAGATCAACACTGTTACCAACAATTTTTTTTATTAAATTACCTGCCCTATAAAATGTCCCAATAAGATCATTTCGTTTCTTACATCTTATTTTAACCCATATTGTTTTAAGGACAGGCAAGTCTAAATCATTCGTACATTCGAAAGACAAGTAGTTTTTAATATATACTGCTACACCTCCACCCTACTCTGTCTGTGTTTTCCTAATGGTAAATGGAAACCTGGAATTTTTTATATCAATGCTGTCTATACCATGGTGCAACCATGATTCTGTGATACAAATGACATCATATGAGTCCAATTCAGCCTGGAGTATATCTAACTTATCTCAAAGACTCAGTACGTTTAAATGTATTATCTTAAGATCAGTGTTTCGCAATGGTCCGGGATTTGGGTGAACATTATCACAGATCAAAAGAAGAAGAATGATAATCAGAAAAAATTGTTTGGTATAAAGACATACTATTGAGAATTGATGATACTGTTATCTAAATTTACAGGCAGATTTGCTATGAATACGACAAACAAATGAGCCCACCGCTTGTCTATATTGCAAAATATCAAATTTTCGAAAATGGAAACACAAGTGTTATGTTGGGTGGGCTTATACAATGATATACAGTGACAAATTAAACACTGTGTATATAAAATACACGTATGGCGTCAAGTTATTTGGCGTAAGGAAAAAAGTTGATACACATAATACAAAACATTTTAATTTCTGAAATGCAATGTAGTTCCTTGTGTTAAGAAACAAGTTATGACAATAGTTATAATAAACTAACAGCAAAAGAATAAGAGTACCACAAAATGAAAGTTCCATCTGCAGTAAAAGAGGAAATGTCACGGTGGACAATATGTCACTCGGACATAACTGAGACGCAGGGCAATCTGACCTACATTTTAATAACGTACGTGCTGCAGCATCTATCACTCGGTGGCATGTTGTGGAAAGTGGAAGGCAAAGCAGGGTTGGTGTTAATAGGAAAATGTAATGTTTCTTATTGGGTTTATACAGTGAATATAGTTACAGTTGGAATCTATATGACATGGGAGAATAATTTTATATGATTTATTGTAGAGCACAAAATGTATTTATCCAGTTGGATCAACATAGAGTGTGCTAATGTGTAGATTGAATACATGAACTTCCAATATCTTCATACACACCCAAGTTGTATAAACTATGTCCTGATTGAATGAACAAAATGTGAATATGTACATCTGGAGTAACACAAAATATATACATGTCCATGTTGAATAGACACGAAAGGTAAATATGTCCATGTTTGTTAAATATAAGGTGTGTTTATGTTTATATTAAATAAGCACAAACGTTGAATATTTTCGTACACATACACACACTGTGTGTAGTTTCGCTCTGAATAACGCACGTGCTGCACGAACATCTATCGCGTGGTGGCATCGGCCAGACTGAGCAGGTGTGGTCTGATAATGTGTGCGACACCAACGTCCAGTACTAAGACTGGATGGTGGTGGTGTACACTGTGTGTGTAAATAGTGTGTAGGCTATTTGAAGATAACTGACACCTTTTCAGAAATGAACAGAAATAATTTATTCATTACATGTGAATATAAAAATGCCTGCATGCGTAAATAATTGTTTAATGGAACTATATCAAACCTGTCATTATGTTTTGTTAGTTATTTTCTACTACATCGGTCAACTTACTTTGCCTGAAGACTTGACCCCACGGACAAGACACAGGAAGACGATAGCAATTGACCCAAACAGACATCCGACTATGTGCCACTGCACACCCCCGACATCCTCTAATCCGGACGAGACACTCTGTACATTGTACCTGCAAGGCAAGTAAACAGTGAAACTCTTGAACACACTTTCCACGATATGAGGCACAGGGTTTAGTACTGTTCTCGGTCAAGTAATGTCTATGCAGATTCCGAGCCCCATACCGATTGTTGTGACAACCAGTGTATTTCCAAGCTTGGCAATCGAAAGAATATGGAAAATGTACGAATGTACCTCAGATTTTCGACATTTCAAACGAATGTCTATTTAATGAAAGCGGAACACTATCATTACAAGACAAGATCGTTCATATTCATGTTTCAGAAATGTAACAGATTCATTTCTTGAAGCAGAGGTTAATGGGCTTTTCTTGTTCCAACCACTAACCTTCATATGCATTCTATACGTGTATCCACATGGATATTACTTGTACATACGACTCCTTGTCTGGATGCAATGCATCATGGTTGATATCTTACTGCCAAAATTCCTCTGCTGGTGTGTGAGCCAAAGTCACATTTTCCCACAACTCAGCTGTTGTGATTGTATCGGATGCATTGTCTGACAGAGCCGTCACATTAGTTGTGTATGCTGTAGTCACAGTTTCCACACACAGGCCGGTGTTCCAGCTGTTGCCACAGGTTGTCCAGGGCAGGACGCTGGAGCAGGATTTCACCATGTAGTAGATGGGCCAGGCCAGATACAGGTTGTAATATGACGAGAAGGCGGACATAAGTACAACACCCCCAACACCAACCCCTGCTCATCGGAAAAACACATACATATTTAATAATCAACACTTTAATGTTATTAATGATGAAGGGTAGGTGACTGTTGTATTAAAACAGGATGACATATGTACACAGTGAACACACACAAAAAATCCAAAAACATTCAAAATAGTTTCAAATATTTCATCCAACATCATTCACAAAACATTCACACATCTCCTCAATATTGTAATAGTGTAAGTATTGTATAACATGTTGTATAACATACAATACACTCTACGCTCATTATGTATATTTATATTATGTAAAGTAATATACACTGGCCTTTAAACAGAGGGCAAAAGCTCCAGACTTGCTGCGAGGCCTTTCCCGAGAACTGAGAAATTGATGACTCCAGGAAGAACATTGGAAACCCGGTGATCAGAAGACAAAGGATGAAAGGTAACAAGAACGCTCCTGAAAGTATACCACTGTGTTCCATTTAGACAACTCTTGGCTCAAGCTTGGGAACTTATATATAACAGGGAGAAAATAAGGAATGCTTTTTGCGAATAGTAGGTCAGATTAAAGCAATGTGAAATATTTATATTATTGTATATATTGAAGTGGCCATGGATAGAGAAAGTTATTTCTATTTAATCAAACCATCGAAAAATCGTGAACTCGCATTTCACCCAACCCCTACCCCCAACATCAAATGGTGGCATTTGAGCACTTGGTTCTATAGCTGCTTTCAGAATTCAAGGTGTAGACTGTGATATTGCAGTGACACACAAATGGTGTCACGTTAAGTGAAGCGATAACAAAGGTCATCCTATTACATCTCATTTCCATCAACAGTCAGTTTATGGCAAAATGTACAAACACTCGTGATTATTCACTAGATCTCAAATTCTAATGGTCATAGTTAACACAAACAACGCTGATGTTACGGATGTACTCATATATAGATTTCCTTTGCACCATCATTCATATGACCTTATCTCGCTTTTAAGTGCATTAATTAGGGCTTTGGGATTGAGTTGAATGCACTTTCTGCGATATGTAGTCGTTGGCAGTACTCATAGTCATATTATAGGATAGGTTTTAGTATTGGTTAAAACTACAGGTTTTTTACCTCCACCGTTCCTGCTGCAGATGTATGGGAACCTCAACAGGTTACCTAATCCAACACAGTAGCCCACCATAGTCAGCATGTAATCTAGATGTCTACTCCATGACTGTCTTTGATGTACAGCTTCATGTCTCTCCCCATCAGAATGCATCTGAGTCATAGGGAATGCGTGATGGGATTCATCTGTCTCGTTGTTGGCCATGATAAGGTTTTGAATGCTCTGAAACCATACACGTTCTATGAGATCACAGAAATGATATATTCAGACATTCGTAGATTTGAAAACCTTTTCGGGGCGGTGGGGTAGCCTAATTGTTAAAGCGTTGGCTCGTCCCACCGAAGACCCGGGTTCGAATCCCCACATGGGCACAATGTGTGAAGCCCATTTCTGGTGTCCCCGCCGTTATGTTGCTTGAATATTGCTAAAAGTGGCGTAAAACCAAACTCAGTTTTAAAACGTTTTGGATGTGTGGTAAAACGGGTTTTTTAGCTTGTGCGATTGTCAGTACATACGTGTACTTATGAGAGTTGCAGCTCGTATATGTTCCAGTTGCGGTAGTGAGTACTTTGGATGTGTCCTAGGTCAGTCACTCAGTCCGTCCGTCAGTCAGTCCGTCAGTCAGTCCATCAGTCCGTCTGTTGTGGTTAAGTCGCCACATGTTTTAGTTTACAGTCAGAGCGTCTACTAGGAGCGCTCAGATAGGATAGGCCTCAGACAATCGCTGATAGCCTTACTTTTCGCATCCGGGTGTTCACTAGCGGGTGGACTATGTTTGTTTAATAACATAGTTTTAGACAGTTTGGGAGCTAATTAAGACCAGACAGGGTGGATGGATTCATCTTTGTCGGCATGGTGACTCCATGCATCTCGTTTATTTATAGAGAACAGTAGCAGTTAGGAACAAATAGGAATTTAGGTAGAAATCCCTTGTAGGTTGCTAATGGTGCGGTCCCAGTGGCGACCTCGGGAGCCCGATCGACTCGACCCCGCAAACTACTCGACCTGTCTCGACCTGGGGGGTATCTCGACCTCAAAACGACCCCATAACGACCTCGTAAGGACCTTTACGACCTTAGGTCGATTTTAGTTTGACTTCAGTCGACCTATCTCGACTCAGGTCGGCCAAGTTGAGAAGACCTATACTCGACCAGCTAGACCTTTATATCGAGCTTATTTCGAGTTAATTTCGTCCTAAGTCGATCGGCCCGACCTCTACGCGACCTGTGTTCAACCGGAGCGACTGGTTCATTTTTCTGCCGAGTAGACCCTTGGTTTCTAAATTGTATAAATTACAGGTTGCATTTTCACTAGGTACCCATTCAATTAGAGGACTGCAAAGTAGTAACATCACCATCAGGAACCTTGACGTAAACCCGGTGAGCCCCGAGAAGCGAAGACTGCTTACCATTTGGGTGCAGATAGCCTGGCACCTGCTTGACCTGGTGGATGACCTGGAGAATGCCAACCATCCTCCAAAGCCAAAGCCTCAGCCGTAAGCACATCAATCCCATCCTTGACGCCTTCAAAGCTGAGTATCGGTCAGATGAGTGGGATCAGAGCAAATGGAATACTGTAGCCCGTGCTTTCAAGGAAAGGTGGTAATTTTCATATTGCACCGGTGCGTTTGATGGCAAGCACATACGCCTCCCAAAAGCGGGTCCCTCTTCTACTACTACGAGAACTTCTTCTCTATCGTCTTGCTGGCACTCGCGGATGCCGACTACAAGTCCCCGTGGGTCAACGTCGGGGCCAAAGGATCAGTTTCAGATGCTGATGATCTTCAACCATTCACGAGATCGGATGGAGGGCGATGACCTTGTATTCCCCGTATGATGTGCCATACTTCATCATCGGCGACGATGCCTTTCCACTCCGCCCCTGGATGATGAAGTCCTTTTCCATGCGTCAGATGGACCCCGATCAGCAGATCTTCAACTACAGGTAATTATTCTTTTCCATAAATACCTAAATCAAATTATATCTTTGGGTGTATGCAATATTATATCAGAGGTTTTGAATTTTGAATGCATTTGACTTAGAAATGTTTAAGTTGTGACTTTTGCAGACTGTCTCGGGCCAGACGAGTGGTGGAGAATACCTTCGGGATTCTGGCTGTGAGGTTCCATGCTCCCTACATCTAGCACTGCAGACAGAGAGCTGCACAAATAACCCTGGCCTTCGTCACTTTATACAACATGCTGAGAACGAGGAACAGTCAGATGAACCTCATAGACTAGGGGAATGAGGACTGTTTACTCACCCAAGGCGAGTGGCGCTCCTGCACACATCTACTTGATGGGGATCGAGGGTACGAGGGAACCAGGGTACGAGGAACGTTACCCCACTAGATGGCGCCAAACCAAAGAAACTATTTGAAGGACTATTTCATGGGCCCAGGAGATGTTCATTAGCAAGAGAAGATGATATCCAAATGACTTTAAAATGTACTCTATTATTTAGGACTACTTCATTTACAAAGGAACTCTTGTTTGTTTTGTTTTTTAAACTATTTACAATTGGTAAATGCGAAAAAAACATAATGAAAACGAACTATATACATGATGAACAAAACAAACTTTATTACAATCGTACAAGATGTATTTACATTTACACTTAGCAATGGATGGAAAATATAAAAAAATATCAGATGAAAAAAAAGCTTATAAATCTTTAATTGGAAACTCATTTAAATAATCTGAAAGTAACATTTCACATCAGTATAAAGTGCTCATGACAATATATAAGTATCAAGTTCTGCTTCTCAGTTTCACTGTCCTTGCTGAGAGTCCTGAACATGTGACTGATCCTCTGAGGTGTGTGTAGGGTCCAAGATACCGCTTGGCAGGTACAGAGAAATACCTGCTGCAGCACTGGAGTCAAAGCTGGGAATATTACCAGCCGGGGCGGTGGGGTAGCCTAGTGGTTAAAGCGTTGGCTCGTGACGCCGAAGACCCGGGTTTGAATCCCCACAAGGGTACAATGTGTGAAGCCCATTTCTGGTGTTCCCCGCCGTGATGTTGCTGGGATATTGCTAAAAGCGGCATAAAACCAAACTCAAGTCAGTCAGTCAGATACCAGATACCGTGTTGAAGAGGGTGGTGTGCTAAGGGTGGACCTCTGGGTGGCAGCCGGTTGGTGTGGAGGTGATGTGCTACCTACCATTGGCTGCCGTTTGGCTTTTATGAAGCATTTGGGAAGATGGCGACCATTTATGCGGTCGGCGCGGACTCGATTAGGTCGAGTTGATGTCGAGATAGGTTGACTTCAGGTCGAGTTGCTCGACTCCAGGTTGAATCCAAGTCGAGTCCAGTTCGAGTTGGTCGACTCAAGGTCGAGTCGAGGCCGAGTACAGATCGACTCTAAGACGAACACAGATCGGCATGTCAGGCCTGCTCGACCTTTAACTCGACCAACTCGACCTAATGTCGACCTAAACTCGACCTTTTTTTCGACCTACCTCAACCTGGTCTCGACCCAATCTCAGACCGAAGGTCCAGGAGGAAGTCGGGGAAAATTTTTGACATGTCAAAAATTTTCCAAAACTTGGTAGACCTGATTGGATCTGACTCGACCTGACTCGACCTAACTCGTTCTGAAACTCGACCCCAAACTCGACGTTCAGGTCGAGAAGGTCGAGTAGCGTAAGGTCGGCACTGGGACCGCACCATTAGCAAGATATTGTTGGATTTAGGGAGGTTTTCATGCACCTTTTTGTTTTATCGTATTGCAATACTATTACTGCAGAACCTAGTCAAGTTGGCATTAGTTGTGACACCGTTTATACCATTTGTGAGATGTTGTTGCACATTGTTGTTTTGAGGCAGTGAGAAGTTTACTGCAGAATCTAGTCGAGTTGGCATCAGATGTGACACAGCTTATAGCATTTGTGATCCTCCCAGTTTCTTGTTATATAGCAGTGTAATACGTTTACTGCAGAACCTAGTCAAGTTGATACCAGATGTGAGAAGTTTATCTTGACTCTTGTTACACATTGTGATCTTTTTTGCTCTTGTGAATGTATTACAGTACTCTAACCAAATGAAACCATGTCCGTCCAGAATGGTGTGAAAGCGTGAGCATTAGATGACGGACAAGTGCTTAATTTATATTTTGTTATCATAATAAATATACATAGGTTAACTATACCGTCTTGAATTGTCGTTCATCCCGCAACATACAATGGAAAGAACCTGGGCCAGTAGAACGAGTTTGGCCGTTAATGTCACCATGACATCTCATATAACAATACACAACGCAAAGTCCATCATCATACAGCCAGACACGTCCTATTACAGATGTTATAGCAGAGGCTGTTGTACATTTATCTTTTGTAGTCAGCTCACTCACTCCCACTCCCACTTGATAAATATAAATCTTTTTGGTCACTCTTGGAAATTTCCCAAATTACCCGAAAGCTATTGAACCATCCTGAACACACTTGTGATTGAGCCCCTTGAACATGGAACTGTTGGACTCAGCTACCTCAGTAGTCACTTGCTTTGTTTAACATGTTCTAGCTGTAGAAATGCAGAGCAGAGTAATTATCCACGTTGCCGGATTCCGTGAGTGAGTGAATTTTGTTTTACACCGCTTGTAGTAATATTCCAGTATTATTATGGCGGGGGACACCACAAACGGGCTTCACACGTTGAACCTATGTGGGGAATCAAACCCGGGTGTTCGGCGTGATGAGCTAACGCTTCAACCACTGGGCTACTAGACCGTCCCCGTCAGTGACCGAGCACGGACAATGCACTCCATATATTTGCCTTTTAAGACGGACAACGATAGATAGGGAAAAGGTTGCGCGCAAACTGCAACTATATGTAAATTAAGAGCACATCTGCATGACGCACACGATAGGTTGCCGCCTGTAAATCTGGTGTATATCCAGGATCGGCATGCAGCATGGATTATATGTGAACCTGTCAACTGAACATGTCATAACAATGGCTATTTTCCCCGCGGTTTCAAAATGCAATATAGACCAGCCAGATGTTGAACAAGTGAGAATTATGGACGCCAGTTCTCCTATCGAATGGTATTGCAGCATGTGGTATGTTTAAGAACGAACACCATGAAACAGTTCGAAACATCGTGTTAAGGTGATTATGATCTGTGTGTGTAGGTAACATGAGATGACAATCAACTGTGTACAGATGACTCCACTCTTTGTCACTGTACTATTTACAGGACTATACAAGTTTTTAAATGGAATTTAAAGTGCGTATTTTGCTTTATCTCAAAACTTAAAACGGAAGTACTTTCAGAGTGCACATTTGTACTGGTCCTCGAAACAATACTAGTAATATCTACAACAACCATGTTTAGAGGCCACGTGGTTTTAATAATTACGATGAATGAGCAAGGAATTTGTGTGTTCCTGTCTGTTAACATTTTTCTGCTATAACACAACTGGGGACTGTCAATTACCCGCGTCGGTCTGCTTTTCGACCAGGCACAGCTTTTGTTGACTTGTAATTACCAACGTCTGACAGCAAACCCAGCTATTTGAACTTGTGGCTAACAAAAAGGTAGACGTATACGACGTCTCTTAATTCACCCAGAAATGAAACCGGCTACACGATAATATATATTTGGAGATGTGTTTGGCTTCTCACTGGCTGTCAATACATAAAATGTCATTACATCTTGTAATAGAGTCCCTCTTAAATACAAACGTGAATAGTAAACAAACACAGGTTTAGGTACATTTTCTGTCTGTACTTTGGTGTGATTATAATTCTGAAGCACAAAACTAAGGACACTAACCTTTAATTGCTGCTTCACCTGCTGGTATCCCGGTTGTTATTGCGTGACTGGTTTTAGTGAACTCTCATTGTCAGCGGTATAAAAACGTGACTGGGCATGATCTACATGGGAACGTAAATTATGCTGGCTACCAGCGAGATGTATTGACTGAATACACGCAGTGTTACAGTCTGACTGCAGTTATATTTTTTTCTATTTAGCATACCAATCCCTTATGCCCTGATCATTAGCTTTTAACCATTAAATATATCATCGTATTTAATAATACCATAAGAACGGTCTATAGGTCGCCAACAACTGAAGGTAGGTCACCATACTAGGGACCATGGGGACTTACAGAAGTTTTACTACCTTCATAGACCCCAACTATATTCTATTCACACTTTTCTGAGGATCACATTATGGATTAAACAGAAAACTATAATGTGGGGTCAAATTGGATTTACATATCTGAGCCTATTGTAAGCATGGGTCCTAGGTTTCAGTGTGTCATTTCATCTTGTGGATCCATACCTGCTATTGACAGGTGTTCGGTACTTGTCAGTGACTCGTTTCATGATTTGCAAAACGGTTGACTGGTGCCATGAAAACCATTATTATGGCTACTCATGTATCAAGTGCATATGGTTAGATTAAAGTGAATGTTTGCCTAAAGAAGGGTTACCATATTATTATTTATTCAGTTTAAATGGATACAATTTCAAATTATAAATCTTCGTTTAAGTAAAGTTGTGATTTTTTGTGATTCTTAGCAAAGTGTGAGTAGTATATATTTCCAACATTCCTTAAGCCGTTGGCGATTGTACTCCAACCAGCCAAACATAAAAAGAACAAATTCTGCAACACGGACGATTACAACTACTTAAAATAAGACAGACAGACAGAATTTATTCAATTTTTAAGGCCTCAGGCCAATACAACATACATAAGAGTTTGGGTAAATATTTATGCATGCATTATAACAGTTACATTGAAAAATATTAATAATGTGGTGTTAATTGTGTAGCTTTAAGACATTAGTGAGATATTTTCCGATTTGTTTAATAGTCTTTATGTTTTCGGTAGACATCAGGTTTATGAAGTGGTTGAGTGTCGGTGGATAGCTGTTATGAGGGAAGGAGAGTTGTCGTTCTTGGCTGTACTTGTCACAGACCATCATTACATGATATTCATCCTCAATAAGAGATATATTATTAGTATAGCAATAGGTGCACAGTCTTTCTTCACGTGGGGTATTGGAGTGTCGCCCAGTTTCTATGGCTAGTCTGAAGTTGTTGCATCTAAATCTTGCAATGGCTATTTTATAGTATAATGGTATTTCAGGTGAAAGCAGATATTTTTCAGCATTCAGTAGTGACTTGTACTGTGAGTAATAATTGCATTTGGAAGATTCTGAAAGAGATAAGTGCCAGTTCTGAGTCAGACAGTCTTGTAATCTTTGTTTAAAACTATACATAAAAGCTTTTGTATCCCCAATGCCCTGGCTTATCCACACAAAGCCAAATCCATATTGAAAGAGTAGAGCCCTGATGTGAGTAGCCCATGTCATCTTTCCACAATCATCCAAGGACTTGAGCATGAGATATGCTTGCTGTGGTTGTCTGGTACTCTCCATATGAATAAGCCTGCACCAGTAGCTGACTGCTCTACACATGTAGTAATACTGCAGTGGGGTTCTGCCACACTCACCCAGGACCATGTTGTTATTAGTGTTCTTGTTCAGCCTCAGATATTTTCTACAGAATTTGAGTTGAACCTGTTCAATGACTTTACAATGGTTAGATCCCCATATTTCCGCACCATAGCATAACATAGGAGTTATCATACTATCAAATATTCTAAACAGTTCCTTTAAGTCTAAATATCCACAAGTTTGCTGAAATCTGTTGAGTGAGAATAGAGCTTTAGTGGCTTGTGCTGCTTGGCATAGCTGAGTTTTTGTCCATGATAATTTCGGTGTGAACAATGTTCCAAGATATTTATGAACATTTACAGTTTTGATTTGTTGACCTTTGAAATACCACTTTTCATAGTTTCTGAGAGGGCCTCCTTTCCTGAAAACAATTATCTTTGTCTTGTTCAGGTTTAACTTCATTCCTGTGGCATCACAAAATTCTTCAACTACATATATTTTGTTTTGTAACTGATTGGCAGAATCTGAAACAGCTGAAACATCATCTGCATACATGAGGCCAACAATATCCGGAGAGTCAGTTCTTAAGAATATACCTCTTCCACCGGTTTCTTCCATTCTTGTAATAAGCTGATTAATGAAGATTATGAATATCTGTGGGCTTACTATACATCCTTGTCGGGTTCCAACATTGCAATTAAAATAATTTGAAAGACCGTGGTCAGTCCTGATGCAAGCCGATAGGTTAGAATACATTGATACAATAAAGTTTAAAAAATCACCCTTAATTAATTCCAATTTGTTGAAGACTTCGGAACAGGACATCATGGTTTACACAGTCAAATGCCTTGGAGAAATCGATAAAGAGGCAGTAAAGTCTACCTCTCTTCTTCACAAGATATTTCTGAATCATGGCTTGCAGTGTAAATATATGATCTATGGTGGAATATGTGGGCCTAAATCCAGCTTGAGACTCAGATATAATGTTACTGTCATCACACCACTGTTTGAGCCTGTTATTTATCACACTTGTCAGAACTTTGCACAATGAATCAATGAGAGATATTCCCCTATAGTTATTGGGGTCAGTTAGACTTCCAGATTTATGGAGAGGACATATAACACTCTTTCCCAGGCTGGTGGAAATGACTTGTTAGTAAACATTTTATTGAATAGTTTTGTCAGCATTGGTGTTATATAATCTCTTGTTGATATGAAGAATTCATTCACTATTCCATCAGGTCCAGGTGATTTATTGTGTTTCAGATTCTTAATACATTTATGGATCTAATCCTCTGTAAAAGGTCTGTTCAAATCTTCATTACATATTTCACAGGATTCCCATGAAACATCTGACTGCTCATTGTGAGTGTTAGCAGTATTTTCAGGTATGTAAATGTTCAATAAATCATGAAAATGATCAAACCACTGTTTTGTAGGAATATGTTGAGTTGTAGTGTTTACAGTCTTATGTTTCTTCAATAATTTCCAGAATTGCTTTGGCTTAGATTTTGCTTCTGAAAGTAAATTTCTCTGCTTCTCAAAATAACCTGATTTTTTGTTTGCATATAACTGTTTAAACTGTTTTCTTTTCATTCTGTAGATGTTGATATCATGTCCACAGTCTCTGTGATTCCTTAATGCTGCATATTTCAGGTGTTTAAGGTGTTCTAGGTCCTCATCCCACCAGGGGGGCTGCTGCTTATCAGTGAATGAATATTTCTTGTATAGCTTAACACAATCATTACCCGCTCTGTGATAGAGATTAACAATATTCTCAATTGCATCATCAACATTTGAGTCTATTAATGAGAAGATTTGATCACATTTTTCAAGAAAGGCCTCTTGAAATTTCTTGAGAAAAAGTGCAGTTTTCTTCACACCAAGTAAATTTCAACCATTTCTCAACTGGCACGTCTTGATTTTTAGGCAGAAATTGATCATTGAGAGGCATATTGTCGGTTGCCTTTGAGGTTTCATCGCGTTCATTGAAGTTGAGAGTACAACACAAAGGGAAGTGACATGAATCATCTCTATCAAGAACCTCAAAATGGCTTATATGTGGGAAAAGATCAGTGGATGCTAACATATAATCCACAATGCTTGATCCATTATGTTTGACACATGTGAAGTTACCATCTATATCACCAGATAAGCGACCATTTAGGGTGTGAATACCAAATATTGAGCATAGTTCAGCAAGTTTTCTTCCATAATTGTTATATCTATCATTATCTCTGGGACATCTTGGTAGGTCAAAGTTATCACTAGGATAGTCATCACTGTTTTCTTGTATATAAGCAAGGTTATCATGAGGTATGTAATCGAGAAAGTTGCTCATTCTAGCATTAAGATCTCCAGATAAAAGATAGTGATGGTCATTATGTGAGCTCACAATTGTTTCAAGATACGTAGCTAAGCGATCCATACCATCGTAGTCCAATGCCTGGAAGACAGGCGAATTTTCAAGTGAAATGTAGGTGAAGATTAGAATGGTATCTTTTATAAAACCAAGTTTTGTTGTTCTAAAGAAAAGCACGATCGTATCCTCGAATGAACTAAACAAGCGCTTGATAATGTTACTTTCCACTAGCCATTCACGTACAAACACTGTGACACCCCCGCTATATCTACCAAGAGTTTTAGCCTTGGGTCTAACACAGTTATATGATCTAAAACCGGACAGAAAGTTTTCAAAATCTTGTTCACTTCTCACAAAGGATTCACAAAAGGCAATGATGTGAAATACGGAGCAATACAGTTTAAGACCAGTATATTCAGAAGAACTTACATATTTATATAGTCCCTCTATATTCCAGGATAGGATACGACACGATTGGGCTCGGCCATCTTTTCATTCGCGTTCTTTGTTTACATGTGGAGTGCTCTCCCTTGGATTAGTGTTACTTCCGGGTCCAGATGTAAACAAACTCACGTGGTTGTCTCCTGTCATCACGTTGCTCCAAGATCGACCGTTAGCTTGGCTAATGCCTTGTCGATCTGATATGCACACATTCTAGGCTTTAATCCTATCGAAAGCATAAACGTTTCCGTCGACATAGAGCTTGTCATGTCGGATCTTCGGGGATTTTCCAGCTTGTAGAGCCTCCGTGAATATTTTACTGAGTGAGCGTCTGGCTTCTCTCACTCGTTTTGTTAGATCCTCGGTGACACGGATCCGTTGTCTATCTTCATTTCGATTTCCTCTTGCAGCTTGTAGTATGTTGTTTCTATCTTTTGTTAGTACAAAATTCGCAATGACAGGCGAGTTAGTCTTTCCACTTCGCAGGCGATGCGCCCTGAGTAATCAGCACATTTTCGGTGTCTGTCATGTGAAGCATGGTTTTCATGAAGTCACGTACTTTTTCGTCTGTTTGGTCCCAGGTTTCACCCTTTTCCTCCGGTATACCGTGAAACAACAAGTTGTTACGTCTGGAGCGAGATTCATAGTCATCTAGACGATCATGAAGGTTGT